GGGTGGGGGGGGGTCTGAATTGAGCGATCAATTATTAGACCCGGACGTCCCAACACTTGCTTCGCAAGACAAACTCAAGGTATCCCCTAAAGGGCTACCTTTCGTGATTTTGCAGGGCGGGCAGTGGGTCATCTCGACGAAAAGGCCGAGGGGCATGTCCTCTTGATCAACCAATCAACAAAGCGAAATCGCTCAAGGTCAACCGGTCCAATGGTTTAATTACTGTGCGATGGTCAATGCCTGGGCCACTTGCAGTCAAATCATAGGTGGAGTGTTGAAAAGTCCAAACTTGGTGAAGAAGCAGGGCATTTGGGGGTGGGATGCTGCAGAAAGGAGCAGGGAATACTGTACTATGATGTTTGTTTGTTTTTTTTTCCCATGAAGTCTGGGTATCCCATTGCACAGTATATATTTGCTTCGCTGCCGGAACTTAGATGCGTCTCGTGGGTTTGGAAGCTTTGGGGTCTGGCATGGTCTGGTGCAAGCGGCTAGGTGGCTAGGTAGACTCACAGGGTGTTGGAAAATAAGTGTCTCCAGCTCTCCACTCCATGTTGCTGACTAATAGATACTACTAGTATCTAATAGTATAAAAATCCAGCTTTGCCAACAAACAAACAGTCACTAGGAATTGTTGGCCCTGCAAAAGCTGATTCGTTGCAGTTACTGGAGACAGCAAAGCTCTACCCAGAAGTAGAGCAAAGCACTCGTGGGCATCCGCTCAACAGAAGTTGCGCTGGCTCAACGCTCAGCAGATCACTAATCACAGTCATCCGAGTTCACAAGTTGACACCGCGGGTCAACAAGCTGACACTCTAAAACCGCTGGGTCACCATGCTCCCAAAGACTTTCTGAACATCGTGGGCCAAGCGCAAGCATGTCATTAGCAGCCGAACTCAGAGTTTTCAAGTTCGCAAAAGTGGCAAATTTCAGCCAATAGACGCTCTTTTTCAGCTTGCGATCTTCTCGACAAGCTCTTTTCCAGAGACTCGGATACTGACCTTAGATCCGGAATTGTGAATTCATGAGCTCTTCTGAAAAGAACTCAAAGGCGCGTCAAAGCAGAAGCAAACACAATGTAGCGACCTGTACTAGAGGAGCCACTCCTGTACTAGATCGTTCTTTTTTCACTGCTGATTGCTTATAAATCAGTCCACTGCAGTGGAAGAAGCCCGGGTGGATGGAAGCGCTCTTTATCGCCCTAACGGAAGACCGGACGTCACTGGTCGCTCGGATCAGAAAGAAAACCACGGAAGCAAAATCAACAACAGAGTGAGGGAACCATGAGTGTGGTGAGGGGTGGGACTGATGGGAACCCAGGATCGGAGAAGGGTGGGGTCGTTTGGGTGAACATGAGCACTGCACGGCACACTGCTCTACTATTTCTACATGTTTGTTTGCTGAATTTGCACGGTGACCGATGACACCGCCGATGACTGAGTCATTTAAACACATTTAACGCCTTTTGATCAAGGCATGCTGCGGGTGCTCATGGAAGCTGTTGATCACGTCTAATTCTGGATTCCAGGCGCCGATTGGAACATCCACTAGCAAGTCACTGATTTTGCAAATACAGTAGTAGTTTCTTGTTACTAGGAAGGCCAGGAGCTACTAGTAGCTTCTTGCTTCGTTCGTAGCGACACCCTTTGCTACTAGTAGCTTCTTGTTACCAGTCGTCTACGGTCCAGGAACTGGTTGTTTGCCCCTCCTCCGCCTTTCCTTTCTCGTGGTCCGTTCCGTCGGAACGGGCGCCCGAGTTTTCTCGGGTCCCCCGACGTGGGAGGAACCAGGCGGAACCGAAGGAACCGAAGGAACCAGGAGATCCAACATAACACATCATTCCAAGTAGACAAGTTAAAATCGAGGAGCAAATGATCTGATTTCAGAGTCGAGGACACAAAAGAAAGGTGTCCAGCCCAGACTCTTGTTGAGCAGTTGAGCAGTTGAACATGGAAACGGCATAGTCAGGGGATGTCAGGGGATCTTTAAACCGCCCTTGGGGTGGCGCTGGTATAAATCATGACTTGAGTTCTTCTATGTGCTCCGAATGTTTGCAAGCAAACAACCAATATTGTTTCTTAGTTATACTCTGATCATCTCTGATCCTTTGACAAAGTTGTGACCTGTGAATTTTATTTTCTGATCAGAAGGGCGACCTAGACAATATTCCATCTACCGAGCCCATTCCACCTAAACAATTGATTTCGTGGTAGTGCCAAGTCCCTTTGTCCCAATGTCTCTTCGGCAATCATTGATTGCAAAAAACAGCTGGGGCAAACAGAGTCGCAAAATGCTCAAAGAGCCATTGCGAATCTTGCCGCATTAACTTCCTTGTTTCGAACATTGCAGCCCGGTGAAACCAGCAATGTTTTGTCGAACAAAGTGCTCAAGGGATTCATGTGTGAGAGTTTGAAGCCATCGGTAGCGTTTTTGGAGGCGTTTGCTAAGCATGCTGCCCCGTTGCGAAGTGAGGTAGGGCGCCAGCACTATTCCCACTGTTTTCTCAGGTTTAATTGATAGGAAAAGTGATAGAAGCTCGCAGGTGTCATTCAAGTCACTTCCAGTCAGTTTGCCATACTTCTTGAAGTCAAGCCAAACGATGTTAAGATCATTCCACACACACACACACACCTTCAAACTCGTTCTCCTCGGCGTACCATCCCCCCCCAAAAGACGACGAACACCTGCGACTTCTCCTCGACGGCCGACTCCTTCGGATCCAGGACGATCCCACCCTTCGACAAGAAGCCCATCCTTTCGCTGGGCCACTTCCCTCCTCCAACCTGCGAGGCCGGTCACACACCGGTGAAGCGTGACTGACACTGGCAACTGCACTAGCTGGAGCTTGTGTTGATTGGAGTCTGGTAGTGGGCAACTCAAAGGTTTAGGATGGTTTAGGATTTGGGGCACGGCCTATATTGTTCCCATCATCTACTAATTATACTGTTTTGGTGTAGTTGAAGGTCTATGGACAACAAAGCACCTTTCAACCTCACCTTTCTTTCAATCCCCATGTGTGTCCAATCCAAACGCAAGATCTGACAATGTCTGACAACCATGAAATCCGAAACCTTCCCCATGTTTTACCGCAGAAATCATATCAACCAAAACAGGTCGCCGGATCTGCTTCAGCTCCTTCAGTGCCTTTGCTGAAAGGCCGAGAGACCAATCTGTAGCCAGGTTCACCAAGCATTTGCCCAACACCATAAAGTGCTGCACACTCTGAAAAGTATCTAGCTACTTAAACCAAGTCAGAACATTCCCACCACACCAGCTTTTAGCAGCTATAGTGAGCGTTTGGAGAAGCGCCAACCAGCACGAAGTTCGTGGTCTAAGAGCATTGTCAGGTGGTTTCTACATGTTTCTACCAGTATTGCCAAGGTTTTGTCCCCACCAAGGCCTCCCTACAAATTCCACATCTTAATTATGAGATATTATGAGATATTTGCCTGTTGCCTCCTTCAATCTAGCCGAAGGCTATCTAAGAAGGTCGAGCGCAACCCCCCTTCATCACCGCAACATCCACATCCTGATCTCGAGCGACGGAAGACACCGCGCGATCGTCCAATCCGGCGGTTCCGCCACAGCGGTCGAAGGAGTTCCGGAGACGGACCGAGCGGTGCCGATCGGACCGAGCGGTGCCTGTAGCAGAGTCGCTCGCCCACACGAGCCACCTCTTCCACGATGGCACCGGTGGAGACCTCGCAGTTGGTGTGGGAAGTCCCGAGTCTTACTCGGGTGCACCAGCGAGTGCATGTGGCAAAAGAAACGCAAGTCCATAGAAAGGGTGAATTTGGAGCCCGGTCTTGGAGGGTCTCGGGATGTTCACAGCAAGTGGTTGAGCCGAGCCGTATTTTTGTTCTGTTAATTTCCTTCAAGCACTAACACTAATACCAAGCATAAGCAAACCGTGTAAACATGGCAATGATAGCAAGATAAAAGTCCGCAGAAGTCAAACATTGACAAATTCACATTGAATGTTGTTGTTTTTTTTTTCCCAATCGGAGATGTCAGCAATGTTTTCTGCAGCCATAAGCCATACGCATTGAGATCACTCGTGACAAGATAACACATCCATTTGTATCATGATAGTATCAAATGTATCAATATATATATATACACATATTTATACATCAATGTATGGTAATATGACGCCTCCTTCCGTACCTCTACTGGTGGGAAATGGAAATACATGGAAATATTTTGTGCAACTACCAAGGGGGAAGGTATCACACATGTATCCAAAGCAGTATCAACATATTTCAATACATCAATAGTCTTGGAGGTGGTCTCGGCATCAAAGCAATACTATTATCATGCAGTATTTGCTGAAAAGCACAGTCATCTGCTTTTAAGCAACTTGATGCAAATACCCACTGAAAGTCACTGAACAACTGCACAAAACAAATCAAACCTTTAAACATGTATTATATATATAAAGAGAACCAAAACAAATCCCATCCCTTGACTCTTGACCGTAACAATTCTAACCAATCAAAAGTCTCAACAAAAACATCCAAACCAATCAGTCCGTGCAACAACCTCAAGAGGAATCCCCAAAAGAGACCACACACTGTCCGACTCGGGTCATCCTGTATTGGTCATTGACCCTGGGATGGACCGAACGGACAGTTTGGCGACTTTGGTACGCCCCTCAAGGATCCACATCAAGCAAAGACCTCGAAAGGTACCCCCAAAAAAACTATCAAAGAGGGCTGGCAAAAAGTTCCAGAGGCAATCACCAAAATCATCGATGCATTTGAAAACCTATGTATTGTTATTGGTCCTGAGATGGGTCTGAAAGCTTTTAGTATTTTTGTGCCCTCTTGAAATGTCTCAAGGTTTCGTTGGTGCGGATTTGTCTTTTGGTACCCTTTCAAGAACGGTTTTGATTGAATTGGATTGGGTTGTGCAGGTTCTGGTGATAAGCAGCTCAGAAGCAGCTGGATGCGCTTATAAGTTACAAGCAAAAACCTTTTCAACTGGAAAAGTCTGTTGGTTGATGTAGAGGAGTTGACTCATGTTCACTCCTTACAAGCAGTCGAACACTTTTGTTACTGCATTTCGATCAAGCTGCATGAGTTCAGAAGATTGCAAAGGACAAATGTTGCTTTAGCAAAGTGTACATGGTAATGGCCTCTGAAGACACATGGCATAGCATGCCGTAAGAAAAAAACAAGCCTACTACAAAAAAAAGTACCACATTGGAACAAGGTGTCCATTCATGAACAAAAAAGCATTGACCAATAATATAGTAGGAAGAAAACATTCTGTGTTTATGTTTGAAACTTGTTCTTCCGGTTTAGGATGCAGGTTTTGATCTAGGACATTAGCACAAATTCATACTAAATGAAAACATAGTTTTCTATATATTGTAGATATGAAGTCTCCTGAAAAACTGAAAAATGAGTTCGCATTGCAACACGGTGCTGTTTGTGTGCTGAGACTTACAGTTAAGCAATAAAGTATTTATGATGCATTACGGTCTTGTATCAAGACCACAATTTTGTGCTGGGACTCATATGAAGGACATTTCATTCTAATCTTGATAAAGCGCTCTGGTTAGATGCGTCAATTTTGTTAACCCGTCTTATTACAGTGGTTTCAGAGTACGTAGATGGCACACTCCCCCAAAGGTGGTTTATATGGACCCCATCTAAAAGACATGTAGGGGTGACAGTGCCTTCTACTCTGAAACCACTGCAAATATGAAACATGTAATAAGGTTTGATTTGTTGTGCCGTGCTTTTGTTTCCTGGCATTGGTGTTCAATGTATATATATATATAATATTATATATATACATGGTTCTGAACTGCAACTTGCTGCATTGTGAATGTTATTAGGACAAGGTTTCTATATATCTTTGCCAAGCACCATATGATCTAAACACGGATAGTGGTCATATGGGGCTCATAGTGGGATGTGGAGCTTCTTGTGTGCTGAGGCTTTTGGTAGAGCAAGGCTCCTTTCATGATACAAAACCACAGTTTAGCGATGGGACTCATGTAAAGGACATATCTTTTACGAGCGTCCTATTCTGATCTAAGGGTGGAAAAGCGCTCAGATCAAAATAACCGCTTTGTTAATCCTTCTTATTCAATGTAATGTGAAGACTGTTTTTGTTGTTTTAGTTGCAGAAATTTATACTCTCGTAGTGAGAACTGGTGTGACAAACCCGCAGTTGTTCAACAAAGTTCCTGGTCCTAGTGGCCCTGACCTTGAGACCTGGGGCTGCGGACACGTGTATATATATATATTATATATAATGGTACCACTCTCGGCAGCTATACTTTTGGGATGTATGCACATCACAGAATGACAACATACTAGTGAATGTTTAGAGTATGTGTCTGCATCAAACCAATGAGTATTAACATGAACAATATCATATGATCACCTTCTCTCATGACGACTTTGCTTATATATATAGTATTTTTATCATATAAATGAGCACATCCAATCTGCTTGTAAGCATTTGACAAATACTAGCTGAAAGCCTGAAAGCTATCCAAACCAATCAAAACCATCGACAAGTACACAAAAACAGTCCAAACCAATCAAGGCGTCCTCAGAGGGTGCCAAAATACTCACATACCAAGTTTATTCCACCTATGTATGTATTGGTTATCGGTCCTGAGATGGGCTTGAACACTTTGGTATTTTGGTACCTTCTCGAGGTTTTTGCAAGCACTCATTGGTTCGGCTTGGTTTTGACACCTTTCAATGTTATTGATTGGTTTTGATTTGGATTGGTTTGGTCTACGGATGGGCGTGAAAACTTTGGTATGTCATTGTCATATGTCGGTATCCAATGTATCCACGAGGTTTAGTTTTTGCCTGACCCTTTCAAGGTGTTTTAAGTTGTGATTGTTTCGGATTGGCTATATGCGTATCATCAAAGGGTTCTGGTGATACTTCTTATAAGCAGTTGGATTCAACAAAGTCAAGTCCTATAGTGGCCCGTACAACGTGCTGTCTTTCACTGCCGGGCAATTCCAGCAATTTGCGCCTTCTATAACCACGCAGGGTATACAAGACCACAATAGACCACATATCAGTTGTATTTACAGGCAGGATTCCAACCAAAAACACTCTCTCATTCGAACACCGTCGCGGGACGCGCCTTCCCCGACCCGCCCTTCGACCGGACCTGCTGCTCCCGGGGCTCCCGGGCGCGGCCCAGCTCCGGCGACTTCAAGGACTCGCTTTGCCGGACGATGATGCCGCCCTTGTCGGCACCTCGAGCGGTCACCCGGCGGTCAGGTTTGGGTTGACCGGGCGAAGAAGGCGGTCGAAGCCGAGCTGAAGAGTGGGTTTTGGGGAGCCGTGAAAAGGTGGAGGGTGGCATTGGGGGAAGATACTGGGAGCCATGCAAGTGTCCACTTTTCGTTTGGTTGGTGAGGTGAAAACAAAGACTTTGCTCATCCAAGCAGCTCGCGCAAAATGTACAAACACGTTCTTGCGCCATGCAGCCGTGTGGGATCTCCACAATTTCACACTCATCCCTACATCCACGCAGTTTTTCACATCCGGAAAAAGAATGGGCATTCAGATGATTTGGATTTGCTGTCCAGGATGAGGCCGGGAAAACATGTAATATATAATACTATAGATGGATGCACGTGTCATGTCAATGACGTGGGTACGGGGATTCACCCATAGGAAAAGAAAGACAATCACCTGATCCGCAAAAATGAAAGGGAACTTGAACATTGAGGCACCTCCGGTGATCCTCCAGCGTGCCGTGCTCGCGGAAGCTGGAGCCGTGCTCGCAGCTGGAAGTGGCTCCGGGTCCTGGCGGTCCGTTTATGATGTGCGTTCATGAAGGCAAACATTTTAAAGGAGAGAATCACTTGAATTGTACAAATTGGCATGGTTGATCTAAGCTTGCCCTACTAACCAGCAGGTTTCTGTTTGATGTGGTTTCTAGACGCGAAGGACCCCAGGTGGATAGTGGTCAACTTTGGGGTGGCCTCCAACCAGCACACCCACATGGAACTCCTGCTAGATGAAGAACACTCTGTGCAATCATGTGCTATCTATAAATGGATGTGAATCGCATGCATGCAAGAGGCCATCCGTAGACTACTCTACGCGATTGGTGGGATTTGATTGCCCCCTTGGCAGGTTCAATTCTAGTCATGTAATGTTTAGTCTCTGACGGTCGGACAGTGTACTAAGTATATGTACTGTGAAGCGCAATATGTATACTTCAGGTTGCCTCCGTTTGTAAGGTTCACGTGAGCCCCTGTGAGAAAAAGACTTCCTGATCCAACCACTTGGCGCGAAAAAGATCCCAGTAGCGTCTTTGCTCCTAGTAGTAGCGTCTTTGCTCCTAGTAGCGTCTTACACAGGTGGGTTTGCTTTACGCCCACAGATGCCAAATGCCGGTGCTGTGCAACGTATATACATTGATCCAATATGCCGACGATCTTCATTGCAAGCCCCCTTACCACCCTGATGGCCTTATCCCGATGCGATTCATGGTCCCTTCTATTCCGGTAGTTGAAGCGGTTTCTCTCACCTTTCACCAACGATTTCTCTATCGCCGTAACTTGAGAAAAGCTTGGAACCGGAATCACGACCTTGATGCAGTTTCCATTCCTGCAGATCCAAATTAGGAATTACATGATTCGAGCCCTTCGTGCCACGCGGACATTCGGTTTCACGTAGCTACACTTGTTTCATGCTGTACATTGCATCTTTTTGTTCATATCTTACACAAAGATATCACCCCAGACTCCTCGGCACCCACCAACACGGTGTAGGGCCGGAGGAAGCGTGCAGACATTGACCGCAACTTTTGTGAGTAATACGGCCAGGAGCCCCTGCGTCCTTGCTCCTAGTCCTAGTAGCGATGCCCTTTGCTCCTAGTAGCGTCCAACCGCGCCCCTCCACGGTTTACGTTTGTCGGCCCGAAGGTATCAAATCGCGAGGTAACCCCTCACGTTTCCTTTGCAGATCCAGTGCAGCACTGGGTCAGAAGGGTAGGCCTTCCATCTGCAAGCTGCTCGGGGACAGTCTTTGTGAACTCCACGCGCACTGACGCGGACTCCACACCGTTCCTCTGGCTCGGCACCGGCCATCGTCATCTGAGATTGCGCCTCGAGTGAAATGCAACCGGGATGTGGTGAACGCATGGATGGATACATAACAAGGCCCATACGGTCTATGATCTTGTTTATTGCCTGAAATGCCTATTGATTTAAGATAAGGTGCTTAGCAGGTTTCACCAAAAGCTATCCAAAGGTGAGTACTTACATACTTCACGAACCTGACAATTCAGAACGCCCATGGAAAACATGTGTGGGAGGTCATGGAAGAGTGGCCAAACTGAGGCTTTTCGAGGGTCAATATGGGGCAATGTAAACAATATGGATTAATATGGATATCTTGGGCAGCTGCAATCCCCACAAAGATCCACAAAAGTAACTGAAGCCAGCTGTAACTGTGCATGGGCCACAGCAGTGCGAATGAAAAACTGAAGCCGGGTCCAGTCTCTTCTCCAGGGACCATCACTGCAGGAAACCAATCACCAGTGATGGTGCGAGAAGAGACTGGACTGGGAGATCATCCACGCTGAATCAAGTCGAACCGCTACTATAAGTCCTTGCCTTCAGGTGTGGAGCCCCACCCAGCGACCTAGCGATCCTCTGCTTTGCGGTGTTCACGTGCGGCTGGGTCGGTGGAATCCGACGGGATGCTCGGACCGAGTTGTCGCGCGGGATGCTCGCTCCACGGCGAGCTCAGGGGAGCTCGGCCTCACGACTCGTAGGCCTTCGGGCTCAAGCTCCTTGGACTGCTTGAAGTTCTTGGTCACAATGAGCAGCGCTGGAATCGGAGTTTACAGCAGCTTTTGCCGATTGATCTGATTCTAAGACCTTGCATCAATCGTCTCCATTGGACAACTTGGAACACGTATTTGTGGAACTGAGCCGCCTTAGAAGAAACTTCAATGTCTCTTTTGCATTTTTTTGCGTCATCGTTCACGAGCTTTACTACTGTCACTTGACAAACGATGACAACCTAGTGACCTGATTCTCATCCTTCCTTAAGGCCTTGGACTTTAGAACTCCCACAGTCTCCAAACGGAGCCAGAGTGCTCAAACACCAGAAATTTATCCCCCTGCGCATGACCCCAAATACTGTAGACGATTGAGAAAACAACACCTGAAGACCGACAATGACTATATATAATTTGTGTATAAACACGTCGCGTATTATACAGTGCTGCTGTGTTTTTTTCAGAATCGATTCTCCTCGTCTCCCCTCTCGAAAAACACCAACCCGTCTTCCCCGGGCCTCTGCTACCTCAGGCCCCAGGTACTCGAAGTGATAGACCGCCTCCGCCGTTCCCCACCGTGACTCCGTGTCACAGGGTGACCGGCGAAGCGGCGAAGGGCTGCAGAGATGCCGAGAACTGGGGTCATGTGGATTTGTGGTCATGCCAGGAGCCCCTAGAAGCGTCCTTGCTCCTAGTAGCGATGCCCTTTGCTCCTACTAGCGTCCTTGTTTGCGGGGAAGAACACGAGAACTGGCCGTAGAAATGGATCACCACCTTCCTCTGCCATAGAACTGGCCATGTTCCTAGGTCTATTAATATGGTATTATTCACAGGTCCTTTTTGCTGCAATTCACTCGAGGCTTCCACCGCGGGATGTGTCGTTGACTACAGGTCTCAGCAGTTGACCACCTCTGGGAACTCCGCGGGGCGTGACCCACACCCAACGTAGGTGCTGAGAATAGCATGCTGCTTCTCGCTTAGCTGTTCTTTGCAAAAAAAAACACCGGAGAACAGGAACAGCCAAGGTGTAAAGGGGCCTTGGAGGTTGAGAGCCCATGAACCACACCAAGACCATCCTGCCTGGGTGTCAAATCGACTACTGCACATGACTGACTACACCATTTTAGGCCTCTCCAGGGACACCCAGACAGGATGGCCCGGGTATGCTACACTCCCTGAAACAATCATGGAAGTGGATGGCATGGCCCCTGGAATCATGAAATCCTCCACAAGCAGGGGCGTGTGCACGAAACCATGTTAATGACTCAGAGAGTAATAACAACATTCAGTGCTGAACAAAAACAAGATCCCCTTCAACCCCCAAGTCCAGCTGCACAGCATATGGTCTTTTCTTCTTTCCCCCTGTTCCTTTCAACCTGAGACATCCCCCCCCCAAACCGGTTCCGCACGATTTCGCACGAAAACTCCTCCGGCGAGGTCTGCCTCTTCCACCAGGTCTGAGCTCTTCAAGCTCCGACCGTCGCGGCCTGGGTGGTACCGGTGATGTCGGTACGACGGCCCCTGTGGTGAGATGGTGAGATGGTCAGATTCAGCAGGGATGGGATTGGAGTGAAACAGTTTCAGGTGGACCACGAAAACAAACTTCCCCAAAGTCTTGCTTGGCCGGTGCACCAAAAAGAGAATAGTAGAGCGCAGAATAAGTAAAACATGTGAAGAAAACATGGTGTTTTGTGTTGTAAGGATAGACAGGGGCAGCTACACAGCCAGGATTTGTGCGGCACCCAGTGAATCTACCCACAGGATGGACCTCATGTATACATACATGAATACTTGAAGTAGACTACGGTATCACAGTATTATCATAGTGTATATATATACAGACAATGCCAACACGTGATCTCCCCATCCGCCCACCATACACCAAAGTGGGCACTTTTCTCAGTTGGTCGTCGAGTCGCATCTCTGTTACCAACCGAATTCACGGTTGGCATCCAGTGATGCCAGGATTTGGTGCCCTCTAGTGAGTCAATCCCTGGGCCGGGTTGGGCGGGCGACTCACTAGAGCCAAAATGGCACGCATGAAAGGGGAACCTCAACCACACTCAGGCATTGTCAACCCCACATTACATGTGTTCCATCGACAATGCCAACACGTGATCTCCCCATCCGCCCACCATACACCAAAGTGGGCACTTTTCTCAGTTGGTCGTCGAGTCGCATCTCTGTTACCAACCGAATTCACGGTTGGCATCCAGTGATGCCAGGATTTGGTGCCCTTTTTGACTCGTTAGACCAACAGCCATGCAATTATGTCCCACTTGCGTCAGACGCGCAGGGTTCGTTGGACGAAACCGAAATTTCGCTGCCTGAAGTGCAGGGCTCAGGGTCAGCGGTGCGCGAGCGGGGAAAACACTTGACGCAGCGAAGGTGGATGGGTGCATTGTTCAAGCTTTCGCAAACCCGGTACTCGGCTTGGTTCCTGCCGAAGGGCCATCCGCACCGTGTACGCCACCGTTTTGGGTGTATATCTAACTTGTAGATCAAGGTGCAATGGTATCTGCCACCTCGAGACGTGTTAAAAATTGTGACACCTGGAAGATTCTCTTCCTGATGTGTGAGGTGTACGGAAGCTGCACAGTCTTCTAGCATATCCAGCTCCGGGGCCATAAAGGATGCTTTGCAGTCCTTAATGCGTCGTTGCAGGAGTTCAAGCTCTTCCCGAGCTTTGTGTACCGACATGGCAGCTGTGGACTCCAATGCCAGCATGTCGAGTTGTGCAAGCGGAGCGTCTTGGATATAATGCAGAAAGACTTCTGAGCCCCATCTTCTGAATAACTGGATTCTCCAGAGTTCGATGTTGTTTGTAGCCATGAATCTGGCCCCTGAGACACGAGCCGTGTGGCCTGTGAATGCTCTAGCACCATTCTGGTGCGTGATCGGGATTTCCAGTATCTTGGCTAAGGCTTCAAAGGCGTCTGCCCAACCCTTCTTAGTCGAACTGTGGCCATCTGCTGCCGGGAATATGTATTGATCCGGCCCAGGCGGAAGCTTGTTCAAATGTTCCACAGCGACGTGGTAGGGGCAGAGCTCTTTGCGGTGCAGAGAACAGGCACAGGTGTGAGACCGTGCCGCTCCTAAGGCTGCTTGGTCCGTTTTCGAGCTGGGCAGCCTCCAAGTCACTTTCTGGTTGGTCTCGTCGATCTCAATATGCTTGCGACGTGCTCGAGATGCTTCAATCTCTCGCAACAACCACCAGGAAGCTAGCACCGTGGCAGCGACAGGAAACTGAGGTCCACCATTGACAAGGGCCGGTTCGTAGTCGATCAGTGCCACTTTGTCCAAGGGTAGATGGGCGGCCTGTTTCGGGTGCCCAATACCTCGTTTGCAACTGCGCACTGCCGAGCGGTATGCTTGTTGGAGCTGGTCATCCCATGTGAATCCGAGAGCAATATGACAGTTCTTGGCGGTGTCTAGGTACAACTGGGCTGAACGATACCCTCCCCTCTTGAGTGCCCCCATGATCGTGAAAATCATGGATGGGTCGAGGTGGAATGGGTCCAGCCAGCCCGCGGTCTTGGCCAAAGTCGCCCAAAGCTTTTGCCTCGACGCCGTGGGGCCTTTTGTTGTTTCCGCCAGGACGTCTTTTGCTAGCTCCATTCGACACTGCTGCGGGTCTTGTGCCGCTGAGATAGCTGCCTCGGCTGACCCTCTGCCGTACGGCTTGGGCTCACCAGACCCTCGCTCTCTCGGGCCGCCGCCAGGAGTGGCGGGCGATGCAACCGATGCCGCGGAGGCCGGCTTCTCTGTGAGTGCTCGGGTCGCAGGCGCTAAGGCAAACCCTTCATGGAGTAGGGTTAGTCGCGGTCGAGTCGGCGGGGCGACGCCTGCTTGTGAGGCGAGTGAGCGTTTGAACGGCATGCTGCGGCGCCGTGTTCGCCTTGAACCGACTATCGGACCGCATCGCGACCGACCGAGGGTGGAGAGGTGGTTGGTGTCACAAACCTGTACTCCGCCCCCCCCCGCTCGACCCCACGTGGTAGTCTTTTCCGATCTGGCCTCGGGTCATCTATTCGTACCGGACTAGCTTAGCCCTACCTTCCAGAAGCTGGGTTCGATCTCCACGCCAGAGCGTTCGACCGACCTCAGGTGATCTGGAAACTGCGGTGGCGATGGCGCCGTCTGTCGGGACAGAGCGTCGGCCTCTAAATTTGCCACCCCGGGGAGATGGCAGAGCCAATGAATCCGATAGGCCCTCAGCGCCTGATCGATTGCGAATTCTCTGGCCAGGATGTTCATCTGTGCGGAACTTGCGCTTCCTTTGGCCAGCATGCATAGCACGCCCATGTTGTCCGATCGGACTTTCACTGCTGCACTGTGTCCCAGTGCTGGCAGCCACAGCCGGAAGGCTACGAGCAAAGCCAACCCTTCCCACAACGTGTTGTACTTGGAGGATCCAGTCTGTGCCTTAAACCGGCTCAGGGCCTCCTGTGGGATGTCACTTGAAAAATATTTCACTGTCTCTCCACCGTTCTTCAAAGTGCCGCCAATGCCCCACGGGCTGGCGTCGGTGGTGATCTCAGCGGTGGTTGTCGGCTGATGGCTCTCCAGCACTCTGCTCAGCGGTGCCGGTCCGCCTTCTACCAAGGCCTGTATCCACTTCAAAGCAGGACGAATCCTCCTGGTGTGCACCAGCTTTCCAGTTGGCGGAGGTTTCTCCGAACCTTCATTCGCTGGTATGCGATCGCCCAAGGTCGCCCACAATGATGAAAGAAACGGGCGCAAGTGTGTTACCAGCCCAGCCACGAACGAGAGTGACCCAGCGTATGATCGGAGTTGTTTCTTACCGACCACTGGTCTCTTTAAAAGGAGTTCGGTGGCTTCTTTCAGCTTATCTACTTTGTCACCTGGTATGGTGACCGTGACTGTCTCCGCCTTGTCGTCCAGCACCAGCCTTGCTCCAACCCAATTGATTGCTTTTCCCCCTTCGGCTTTGGCCAACTTCACTGGGAAGCCGGTGACGGCGAACCAAAGCAGAAGTGCGGTGAGGTCCATGGCCGCTTTCTGTTGGTCCCCGGCCAGCACGAAGATGGGGTCGTCCACATAAATCTGGACGTTTGCTTCGGGTACGATTGCCGCACAGGACCGGCCCAGCCAGGCTGCGTAGCGGCCCCAGATGGTGGGCGAACTCCCAGCCCCAAACACTAAGGTGTCGAAGATGATGATCTCCATGTCACCTGTTGTACCATGCTTAGGACGGGCCGCCACTGTGAATCGCTTATCTGGTCCTGAGGGGATGTTCATGAAGGCATCTCGTATGTCTACTGCGGCCAGCCACGGGGTTTGCTCGTCCCGGTAGACTCGAATCGCTTGGATGGCCACGTCGAGCAACCGAGGGAGGATGATGCGTTCGCCCTGATGGCACCTTTGATTGGCCTTGGACTCTCTCAGGTCCCAGATGATTCGACTCTTCTTGACCCCCTGGGCATTGAACTTGGTGATCACGCCCAACTTGTTCAAGACGGGGGTGTGTCCCAGCTCCTTTGTGGCTGAATCCATGTCGCTTACCACATGACAGAACTTCCGGTCGATGTAGTCTTCGACCAAGGCGTTCAGGTCGTCTGCCTCTTCCTCGGCTGACTTGTAGTTCTGCCAACCTTCGATGGCCCGACACAAGTCTTGTTGTGCGACCTGGCCAGTCTCGGCTCGCGGCACTTCCGGGAAAATGCCTGCCGGTGGTATGCTTTCACTATACCCGAGTGGGGCTCCATGGTCCAGCCATTGGCTGAGGTGCTTGGTATCCGGGTCTTTGGTCGCGACCCCCCAGGCTTCTATGATGCCTGATTGGATCGGTGTGCTTGCCCGTGCTGTTCGTTGCCGAGGGCGTAGTGTGGTTCCCAATCCTTCTGCCACCTGTGCCCTCAGCCGGTCCACGACCTCTGCCGGGAACGGCTTTGCCACTCGACCGGTGAGTATGTCGTGACCGATGCCGGTGAGCTCTGGTGATGCGTCTTGGGCTGCCATCAAGAGTCTGCGGACGATGGCTCCGGGCTCTTTCATGTGTGGCATTCGCTGAACCGCAAGGTGAGGGTTGCGCATTCCACCCAAAGCCCGTCTGTTCTCTTCTTCTCTGGCCGTCGAGGGCTGGAGCGTTGAAGCATCAAGCACTACCGGAGTGTCTCAGAGGTTCTCGGTGGCGAGCTCCTCCTTCTTCCATGTTTCACTCACATTCTTGTGGATGGCCACTGCAAGTATCCTGCTCAAAAGAGGTGTATACTCACCCTGAGCTTTGGATGCCCGCTGCATCTTGCCACCCACCTCCTCCCACCTCTGCACCGTGGACTTGTGGGTGGCCTGGAATGTAGAACCATCGTCACGCTTCCACGTCTTCTTCTCGTGGTTGCATCTCTTGTCTTTCAAGGCCGATAAGTCCATTCCCTCGATGCACAGCTGTGTGGGTTTGGTAGTGTCCAGGCCAGTGACGCACTGATCGAACCTGACGATGCTGACTCCGTCCCAGGTGTGTATGTCCCTGATCCTCGGCATGTGCCACAGCGAGGGTTTGTCTGGTGGATGGTCGGGGTTCTCCAATCCCCACGGCTTCTTCTTCTGGTGCATCTTCAGGGCCACTTTGTAGGACCGATGTACGAGGATGTTGGAGTCCCGCAGTTGAGCCGCTTCCGCCTTCGTGGGATCTGGGATGCCCGTGATCGACGCGAGTGTGCGAATCACCCTGGGCCCCGGAGGCTTCTCCCGTAATGGTGAGAAAGTCCCACATGGCGTTGCGATCCATCCAGCATCGAAGTAGCCCTCGTCCAGATCTTTCTTGACCTCCTCCCACGTTGCGTCGTTCACCAAGTCGGTAGGCGTGGGGAGCACGATGTCCAGGCTGCAAACGAGCCAACCGAGTCGGGCCATTTGGTGGGCGAGATCGCCTTCCCTTGTTCTTCCGGAAAAGACGATTAGCATCCGCGGCTTCTTGCTTACGCTGCCTACGGTGCTGGTCCACCACCCGTATGTCCTCGGAGGCTCTCTCAGCGCGACCACTGGGCGGAGCTTCTGGCTCTGATCCCCCTGAGACCCGGAGGTAGGAAGGGATGTTGCCGCCGGCGGTCGATCTGCTTTGGTGCTCGATCCCGAGGCTTGGCCATGAGGTGGCTCCCCGGAGGAATCGGCCTCGACATCTTCATACTCGTCTTCTTTGCGGCTGGCTTCCACCTCCTTTCGTTGCTTCTTTGTAGGAGGCTCTGCTGGTGACTTGGGCGCGGATCTGGTGGCTGGTTTGCTTTTGGCAGTGGTGCCAGGCTTTGAGGTTTCAGCTTTTCCCTGGCTAGTTGGCGGAGTGCCCCTAGCCTCTTTCTTGGGTCAGTCCTTCTTTCCTCCAGTGCATGCAATCGCTTGATGGGGCCCCAAGCATTTGTTGCACTGATGAGATCTTTTGGACTTGCACTTTCCCTGAGCCTGTTTGGTGCCACATTTATCGCCGTTGTAAAGGCGACAGATCTCTACTCCTCTTCGGTTGTGGGAGTAGGTGCCATCGGATCCCCGTTTGGATTTGTCTTCACCTTTGTAGGTCCGATTGGTGCGCTGACCCTTGCGCCGCTTGGAGTCACCTTCCTGCTGATCCTCTTCATCAGCAGCCCCCGGCGAACGTTTGGCTCTCGCCAGGAAGAGAGTCGTTGGTGTGGTGAGCTCCTTGTTCCAGAACTCCGTGTCCTTGATCGCGGCGGCGTAGCATGCACTCCATGGTGTGGCTGCCACATAGCCCAACGCCGGGTTGGCATTGAGCTCTCGCCTCAAGCGTTCTAGTTGCTCTGACCGCATCCTGCTGTCGGCCTTGCAAATGAATGGCCAGGCCTCCTCTCCGAACTGTGTGACGAAGCCTCGAATGTGCTCGGCGTAGGCGTCCAGTCGTTCGGCCTCAGCGGCCTCCAACAACAGAAGCGCCGTTCTGTAGCACCGCCAAGCCTTGTACCAATCGTAAAAGGAGCTCGGCCCCGGCTGTTCTTTGCGAGCCCACTCCCCTGTGGAGACGTTGAGCGTGTAGCTCTGAAACGTCTGGCGGCGAAGTAGCCGTTGCCCATGCGGCCCGAAGATCGAGAAATCCGCATAGGGGACTGCAGTGGCCGCCAGGACTTGACTCAGTGCGGCCAGTTGGTCTCGGGAGACATCGGCATCTACACTGGGGAAGTCACCGAAGCGATTGCGGTATCGCTCGTACATGCCTTGGACTTCAGCGTCTGTGAGGGGCTGAATCTCGGCATCGAGCGTTGGGTCGAGCACAGCACTGAGCTTGAGCTTTCTGGCCTGCGGCGGTGGTGGACCCACGCCAAGCGCGCCCCCCCCGGCTGGCGGAAAAGGGGCAGGCGCTACTGCCGGGGCAGCTGGCACAACCACGTCACCTGGCCTGTCCACCGGCCTTCCTGACCTGAGGCAGCAAACGCGCCGGAGCGACTCCAGCCTTGCTTCTTCGACCGGAGTCAATCCTCGAGCAGGTGGCCTAGGGTCGCCGGCATCTTGGACTTGCAAGTTGTTCACGACCCGATCCCATGTAGGTCGAGGGATGAGCGCGATCTCGCGGACCCTTGCAGGCTGACCTAAGGCCGCAAGAACGGCATCCGACAACGGGCCATCCACACCTGACCAGGCCCGGGCTTCAGCCAAATTGTTGATTGCCTGGAGCTCGTCTTCGGTGGGGTCCATCTGTCAAGGCGGGTCCCTCGTGCAAGAGTGGAGCTCCCGGAGTTGTGGACCTCCTCCTTGAAGTCCTTGCACCTGTGGGTCGGGAACCCTCCGTGTTGCGCAAACTGTAGCGCTTGTGCCCGTTGAAGGCCAAGCCCACCTTGCGGCGCTTGTTGACGAATCTGATCGCCTTGTTTGTAAGTCGTTCCCAGGCCACCAGAGCACCCTCGTTGGCCGTA